ATAGTTTCATTCTTTCCGGTTGAAGTCACTGATTCATGCATAACCCAATATCTTTTTTTTTTTTTTTTCTTTTTTTGTGTAAACCACCGGTACCGGACCCTATTTACACTCAGGTGCTTTAGTCACATGTTAAGAACTCATCATCCGTTCCTCTAAAGAGGTGCATTACGTGGGGATCGAACCCAAGAGCTTTTCTCACATGTCCAACTGCGTTACGCAAGATTGGTCACAATCCATAGGTGCATGCATCCACTCTTAGTTAGGTCTTAGTTCATTGTTTCTGTTGAAAGTCTTGATTCCATGCAACCCTACAAGAGGGTCCTTTTATACATTAAGGTAAAGGTGTGTGTAATTCCTGGTTATGGTATTATCGAAATTTTACATCTTTTTCTTGTTTGCAATGATTAATTAGGTTATGCCAAGATAACTTCCATTTAAAATGAGATAAATTATATTATGAAATATTTGCAGATTGATGAATATTGTGCCCATACTATCAATCTTAAAACGGGAGAATATATATTATCTGTTGTTAGGTTTAAGTGTGCACAGCTCATGAAACATGCGCTTCTATTTTGAATCCAACCCAGTTGTATGAACATACAAAATTGTTAATTTAAGTCCATAATAAGAATGTTTTTTAATACAAGTACTTATGCATTTAGTCAAAAGATGGTGGACTACCGTCCGGAAGCTGGTGTATAAGCAAAGCTTGAAAATCTATTTAATACTAATTAAGAACATAGGCATCCTTCCACATGGAGAACGATTGAGCACCATCTGAATGAAATCTTACTATAAAGATTTGTCTGCTCAATGACCCAAATTTAATCACGTTTATGGAATGAAGTAATAGATGTTATTTTATCTAGAGTACTGCCTGTTTTATTTATTATTATTATGTAATTTATTATTGATTATTATTATTATTAATTATTATTATATTATTATTATTATTATTATTATTAATTATTATTATTATTATTAACGGCTTTCACGCGGTTTGCAATATTGGAATTTGAGTTCTTGTTCACACAACTAATTTTTTATGTATTTATCTGTAATAATTTGATTAAATAAGAAGTTCAGCATTAAAAATTTTCCACTAACACAATCCTTCTCTCTATGCAAAAGATGGTGTTTAAAGATATAAACGGAGGCCCTTCTAACTTCCAGAAATAGAGTCGGACTTGTAAATATACAAGTTAGGTAACGAACATCTTCATAACAACCTATAAGATTAGTTTACATTTTATTTACCATGTAATGAAAATTGAAAAGCTTAAAAACAAAAAGCATTTCTCTAATGATATTTGCTCTATTTAGTCTGTAAGTGTAAATGTGCTTTAGAAAAAAAGGAGATGTGTTCATCACACTTCGTATTTTCATAAGAATTTTTAAACATGGTGATCTCAACTTTTTATTCATTTTTTTGCTATTTATTTATTTATTTCTTATTTTTTTAATTTTCCTTTATACGCTTCCTCTTTTATTTTTGCTCAAAACTTTCTTCCTTACGCTGAAACTGATTTATTCTTCATGCATTAAAGAGCTATTTTTAAAAATGTAATATCTACAAATATACATTTAAAGCCAGCATCACCATCCACAACTTCTATTTATTAAGAAACAACCATTCAGCCAGCATGGTTGCATTAAGAGATATTATAATGAGTTAGTTTAATTGTAACTGTAATTGGTTTTTATCTCAAAGTGATGTGGTATTTAAACTTAGTATCAAAGTCAAATTAGGGTTTAATTTTTAGCTTTTTTTGTATATATAATTTAATTTTAATCGGTTTATTAATTTCTTTTATTAAAGTCTAATTTTTTTTATTAGACTTAAATAGGAATTTTAAGTCAATAAAAAAAGGGTAGAAACTTCGGAAAAAACAAAAAGGGAAAAGGATGCATAATAGGCTTCAACTGGCCTTAAGAACTGGTCCGAGTATCCGTATGCCATCCTCTGGGTCTACTATATGGAACTTCCTTGAGTTGAGAAGAGAATGCTCAGTCAGTAAGGTTGGTTGGAACACACGACTCTCAAAATAATTGGATCCCGTAAAGTTGGTTCAAAAGAGACCGAAACGATAAAATGGGTCTGAATGAGAGAATAAGGATTGATTTGAAGGAGAATAAAAAAAGGGAAGTCAATCAAAGACAACGGAGTTGAACAGCTACTTATACTGGTGTTTTAGGGGCACGTAATTTGTTTGAAAAAAGTACAACTTTCCAACATGTCCCGAGTATACACACCTATCCATTTCCGAGGTTGGCCTATCATGGACATGGGAACTTTCTCCCAGCATAAGCCCATGGTGCATGGGACATTATTGATGGCTGGCCTAGAAAAATCAGGCCGGAGGCAAGCAGGACGAATTGACATAGGCTTGGGAAAGAGGACCAAAAGGACCATTATGTTGCTTAAAAACCCATAATTCGTTAAAATGTTGAATACTATTTGTACATTTTTAATTTTTTTTTATATATTTTCTAGGTGCACCTTGTTGGGAGTATACTTTAGGATCCTTATAAAAACAGGAAAAATTATACTGCAATAGCTGCGCACAAATATATATAAATAAATCGAATTGTTTAACCGTTTTCAAATTTTATCTTGGTTTAACGCGAATTGTTCCTCTCATTTTTGTTTTTCCTTGCCTTTTTTTTCTTAATTCATTCTTTTTTCGTTTATCCCACTTTTCCGCAAGACACCAGCCCAATAACCATAACAATTTTGAGGGAACTTGGTGATTAAACATCAATTGACCACCAGCTAAAGCTGTACAGCAAACTGAATTCAAGTTATTTTATGTCTCCCTTACTTTTTTGCAATACCTAATTTCTTATATTTCTCTCTTGTTCCTCCTTCACGTCTTTTTTACTTTTCTCTCTTCTGAACTCTTCTTGTTCTCAAATTAAAACATGCTTGGCCATCTATAACCTTCCAAAGCACCTCTGATGGACGCAGAGCCCAATGGATCCATTATAATCTCATACCAACTCGTTAAAATAATTATAAGTGTCAAACTTGGTGATTAAACAAGTGGATTCACCCATTTCAACTAAAAGCTATAAATTGAGTCATTAACAAAAGGGGGAAAAGGAGTAGTAATCAATTTAACAGGCCACGTACACGAGAACAAATTAGACTATTTTGATTTGAACTGGACCCATTTTATTTGATTGTTCACTCAATTAAAAATATATTAAGTTCTAATTCATCTATAAAACTTAATCTATAGAAAAATATATATATATTACAAACATCCTAAATTTATGTGGTAAGTATGTGGTAAGAACATTAATTTTGGCTTAAGGAAATAGGCTCAACAATCAATGACAGAACTCTTCTCTTTGATCTACTATCAGGAGCTCCATGGCTATCTCCATATTGGTAAATACATTGAGAAATCCTTGCAAGATTAATAGTTGCATCGATGAAAGGCTTTGGAAACTGAGTCTCACCAATTTCATATTCATTTATTTTCTTCCAAGCTTTCTCTGTCAATTTATTTATATGTTCTCGTGCTTCCTCCTCTAAAACCCCATATTCATGAATATAACACGATATTGAATTTACAGTTTCACCCCGAATTAACTCATCCTGGAGAAATAAAGAGTTTAGGAAGAAAATATTGAAAATTTATATTATAGATCATTCCATTAAAAAATTAATTTGAACCCATTAAATTCTAATATTATTTTTACATATTATCTATATTACTTCATAAACGTATCACAAATCATTTTTTTATACATATATAATTATATTATATCAGAAATTATTATCATTATATTTATCATTATATGTGTTATTATACTCGAAAAATTTTCGATTCAAGAATGCTTTTATTAAAAAATTTTCAGAATTATATGAATGATTCATTCTATAAAAAAAATTAAAGATTGGCGCAGAAATATTAATAATAATATAGAAAATATTGAAAATTGATTTTCAAAAACTATATAATTCTCAAAAAAAAAAAAATCAAGAACTATATATATTTGACTCCATTAAATTAAAATTCTATATATATATGTATGCATACCGATTAAGTGGCCAAATCATTGCAAAGTCTAAAAATAAGGGATGGCCATTTCAAGAGTTGATCGTAATTGAGTAGGGAATGAAAGCAAGTATAAGTATAACAGTTCCTGATACAGATCGCCATCCATTTTCAATATATTCTTCAAATGACGGTGTAGATTTGTTGTGGGCCCACTTTGCTTCTTGCAAAAATGCTTTGCATAAATCACCCCACTGAAATAGTTCATAAACTGGGCCCACTTTTGCTTCTTGCAAAAATGGCTATTTGCCAAATCCCCGCACTGAAACTAGTTCAATAAACAATTTAATAAGTAAGTGTATATTAGCTATGTAGATTACTTTATTCTTAATTACATTTAAAAAACAAATTGAACTTATCTTTGCAGTGGGAGGAATAAATAATTTCTCATTCCCTTGAGAGTATCGTAAGGCCATCTCATTACAGTATTAGTATAGAGCAGAAACTTAACTTTCATATTAATATGAGAAGATCTTTTCACAGCAGTGGACTTCCCCATCTAAAAGAAAGTAATTCATTTTGTATCTGATTAGTATAATAATTAATGCTGTTCTTTTTTATCAGGAAAAAAGATTTGAATATTTAATAAAGATGAATTTGGGAATAAATGGTGGCTAATCAAAGACTAATCCATAGCCGACTGGTGCCTCCTTTTTTTCATCATTAGAATAGAAAGCCAAGCATAAGTTATTGAAAATTTTGGAATTTAATCGATAGACCCTACCTTTAGCAATAATTATTACCACTCTCAGAAATAAAAATACCTTTTGTTAGGATTTGAGTATAGACTCTGATATGTTTCACTTTCTATTTTGATGGGTGTTTGTATTATTGAAATGTGGAAGTGGGGGATTGATCATGGAGGATTCTCCGCTTATTGAAATGTGAAAGTGCATGATCATGAAGGATTCTCGCAAAGTTCAATAGGGACTACAAAGATAATCGCCTAAAGTATAGGTTCAAATTTATACATTAAGTCATCTAACAATATATGATAATGGATGGATGTCAACATTAGAAATGGTAGGTAGACAAACCTCTCAAGAGCTTCTGTAAACAGCTGCAATTCATCCAAAGTGCCGTAAATATCATATACATCGTCAATGGTAGTAATGAAAGAAGCGACTTTTGTTAATGCTTTACGACATCTGCTAAATTGTGGCTCAAAGGCCATTCCAACTGTCGAAAAGAAGCACTCCATTAGTCTGTCTCTACTAAACCTCAAATGTTTTGCTAGTTCCAAATTGTTCCACCACCTCCTTAACTCAACCACCTACTCACATAGGAAAAAAAAAAAAAGAGTTAAGGTTAGGGTAGACACATCTAACGTGCATACTTGTGGGTGTTATGGATCCAAATGAGGCTGAACTTTCAGCATCCTAAATGATAGAATTATTCTATGAATCGCAATATAATAGTTGGCCACTGATCATTGAATCTGATTCAAGAAATGTTATTGCCTAGGTTATCAACAAAAAATAAAAGATAATGGGAATGGTCAGAAAAATTTAATAGATTTGATATCTTAGTCATTATTTTAAGTTCAGTTCTGTCGTATAAAGAAGAGAAAGAATTCGTTTGCAAATTATTTGGCAAAAAAGGGATAATAATACCTTTTTTTTGTTATGATTATAAATGTTGTATAAATTTGTATCTGATATTACTTGTATTTTTGTTTGTCAGTAATTTCTTTTTCTCTTACATTATCTATTAGGTAAAGGTTTAATTAACCTTTCCGGAATATGATAGCTGGTCTTGAGGGGAAAACCTGATGTTTGAGTTTTAGTAATGTATTATCTTTATCTTTCTATTTAATTTCTTAAATAAAAATTATTCTTTTGGCTCCCTAAAACCAAAAAAAAAAAAAAATATAAAGAACTCATTCTAACATGCAAGTGATACTATTCCTAAAACAAAAAAAAAAAAAAAAAAAGACTCATCTAACATGCAAGTGTACTATTTTTTTTTTTCCCCAGGCTAGTTTGTTTAATCATCACCTTGACATTTCTTTAAGATCTCTTTGGAGTACAGATTGCACCATACTAAAATTCAGCTTTGCAAGTTCAAGTAACAAAGGGTTTACTTCTTCCCTTTTACCATATGCTTCAATATACCAGCGTGCTTCCGACAGAACCATTCGCCGACGCAACGGAAGCTCAAGAGCGTGGCTAATGTCTGAGTTATTCTTAATAAGGTTATTGAGATGTGTTCTTGTTTGTGTCATTGCATTGTCTAATAGAAATTCTCCTTCAAAGGAGAAAAATGAAGCTTCGTATAGACTCAAAATTCCTTTTTCATCCTTCTTGAAGCGTTCTTCCAGATTACCATCTTTGTCCATGAAATTCCTGAATTCATCTAAAGGCATCAACATGATAATTATCTAAGTCAGACTACTATATAATATAATAATCAAATTAAAGGCTGGTAATAATTTTGCATGCTGCACAATAAACTTTAAATGTTGTGCTATATATATATTGAAATGAGTGACAACTACATATTTGATGTTATCTATTTTGGCCTTGGTCTAATATACTCCCTCGTTTCCAAATAGTTGTTATATTTGTGGATTTAACAAATAATTAATTATTTTTTCCGTTTTTACCCTTTCTATATGACTAATAGTTATTGAACGGTTTTTACTCAAATAATAAATTAAGGATAGCACAACAAAAGTTGAAATTATGAAGATGATTGTTTCAAAGTCATCCTAACTACATATCAATAGGGAAGCCAGACTCCAATATTAGAGATGGCTAAAAGAAAGTTTTCAAAATTAAAGGAGCCAAATGAAAAGAAAAATTTTTTGCCCAATTTCTGGGTAATAATTTTAAAATTCTTTTGAGTTTGGGGGGCCTGGACTCCCCCCACTCCCCACTCCCTCCGCCCCTGCATATCAACTCGATATTTTGCAGATAAAAGCTAGAAATCCTAAAAATTATTGATATTGGTGTTGAAAGGTGTGTAATATTATTAAAATTTACAATTCAAGTACATAATAGATCATTCACAAAATTTAGGAGTGAATAAGGTGAAATATAGATCATTCACAAAATTTAGGAGTGAATAAGGTGAAATTTTTTTAGAAGTTCATTGAAGAAGTTCTATTTGCTTAAAAAAAACTTCCCTTTCTTTATGTATTCAACTCGAAAAATTTTATGACATCCTTAATTTTTATTTTGACCTACTAAACATTTCAACTTATAAAATTGGATATGTTAAATATTTTATTTCACCTATTGAACACATAAACTTATATATTTAGATCGATTAAACACTTATTAGATAGTTAAAATATATAAAAATCGGCCCAATGCTTAAATTCATCCTTGTACTTTACGTAAAAAAATTTTGTGGCACTCCCACCTTTTACTTTGACCTATTAAACACTTCCATTTATAAAATTGTACCAATTAAATACTTCAACTTGTAAAAATTATTCTATTGAGTATTCAAACTTCTGAAATTTGATCAATTAAATACTTATCATATAGTTGAAAAATATGAAAATTATTGTTCTAAAGATAATACTAACCACATATTAAATGAATATGTTTCACATAAATACCAAAAACACCAAGAAATGTTATTATTAATATAATGAGGGATACAATATTAGTAAAATTTGCAACTTCAGGAACATAATAGGCCATTCGCAAATTTCAGGGGTGCCACAAGTTTTTTTCCGGAAAGTATAGGGATATATTTATGCATTTGGTCTATAAAAATCATTATTCGAAAAGTTGTATTAACTATATCAAATCAATATTTTGCATATAAAAGCAAGAAATCTTAAAAAAATTTTTTAGTAATTAAAGGGGTATGAGTTTATTACAACAAGTGAAGTTTAAGATGTCACAAGATCGATTCTAAAGTTTGTGCGCCACAAACTAAGTCTTTTTTATCACAATTCAGAGGTTAAATTATGTATTAGGCATCAATTGATCAATACATGAGATTCTTTTTTCCAAAATATTAAGTTATTTGATAATACTGATTTACATATCGCTTAAGTCTCGATATGTTCCTAAGTAGGGGAGCATTCGGCCAATTCGATCGGTTTGAGTAAAATTTTTAACCGAAATAAACTAACTGAAATTTTTTTTGGTTTGAGTAAAATTTTTAACCGAAATAAACTAACTGAAATTTTTTTTTGACTTAACCTTAACCGAATTAATTTTGATCATTAACCGAACCGAAGTCAAAGAAAATGAAAACTTAATTAACCGATCGAATTTAACCGAAATTTGTGATTAACCGACTTTAACCGAAATAAAAATTAACTGAAGTTATTAATCACTATTTAATCCAATTAAAAACTGAAATATTTTTAATTTTTAATTTTATTATCTACTTAATCAAAACGACGTAGTTTTGATGGTTGGTTAATTTAATTAATTCGGTTAAATTATGTTTTAACCGAATTTTTAACCAATCACCGAAATTTTATTTTTCTTTAACCGAACATTCATTCGCCGAACCGAACCGAATTAATGGAATTAACAAAATTGGCCGAACCGAATGCTCACCCTTACTCTTAAGGATTTTAAGGATGTATTTTCCTATATAAACCTGGTGCATTCAAATATATATGATTCCTGAAAAGCTTTTCAATTGAAATGTAAGAATCCTAGTTTCATTGTCTTTATTTAGAGTGAATCGTCATTCAACTTCTCCTTTTTAACAAAATAATAAAATATTTAAAAATAATTATCGATAATCAACTCTTCAAATACCTGGAGAAACCTGATAACCATGTTGTCTGAGAAGTCTAAAGCTGAGAGCAACAACATGAAGAGATTTGTTGGACATAACTTTACATCCTCCCCGAGCTTGGAATCTATCAAGCACTTTGTTTATGTCTTTCTTGAAGAGATACTCTAAACCCAACCTTTGGATGTCATCAATCAGTTCAAGAATTGTCGAAAACTCCTTACTTTCATCATTAATTACACTCCTCACTTCATCCTCTAGCTTTCTTGCCTTGTCTTTGTACAGCAAATCCTGCAATTAATCCTCGTTTCAAGCTTATATATGATGAAGGGATCTAAAAATAGGTCCTGGCAATTAAGGGAAAAAAGGAAGAAAATTTCATGAAGGAAGAAAATTTCATGAAAGTATTATACATACTGCGTTATCATTCTTTAAGGACTGCAAAAAGCTGTAGCTCCACGTAGTTGGTTGGTAATTAGCAGAGCGTCTCTCATTTGGAGGATGAGAAATTTGTGCCTTCAATGACCATTTGGGCTCTTTATTATTCATTTTAGGACTTTTTATTCCAGTTAGTAGCGAAGGAATATTTGCAATTAAATGCATTTTGATTTATGAGGTAATAATAGCGAAGGAATGTTTCTCTTTGCAATTAAATGCTATTGAAACAGGTTATTACTAGTTAAGAATCTTATGCTTTTACACTATATATAAAAAGGTTGGTAGGTCCAGATTCATTATTAATACCGTTGAAGTTGGTAGGTCCAGATTCCCATAATTAAGAAATCACGTTTTTTATATGCAAAATTAGTAACCATGACTTAACTCCTTAGGCCCCATTACAAGGAAACAAACCAAACTCTATGTACTATATGACACATGATGAAATTGGTTACTTACAATAATCTAAACCTCATTCTTTTGTTCACCAAAATTGGTTATTATTTTAGATCAAACCACTGTGTATATACTAGTGTTCAAGAACATGCGATGTACATTGTTACTCATTGAACATACCCGTTAGAATAATTATTTATAATTTATTTTTTATTAATTTTATAATTTATTTTTTATTAATTTTTACAAAGACAATATAAAAATTCAATATTTTTAGTTATAATTATTACATATATAAAAATAGGTGCAAACCACTATTATACATATCTAGTATTTGATGAAAAGTTCTAATAATTTTTTACAATAGAATTTTTGACAAAATGGAATAGTTTTAAAGTTGAAAATAAATAACTATTTGATCCAAGATCTCGCCACATATAAAAATAAATACATATATAAATTATTGGTAATCAAATTCAATTTTTTTTTTTTGTGATAGTATACCAAAATAAAAAAAAATTAAAAGTTCAAATTATTACCTCAGCCATTAATAATAATAAAGGGATTTTTGATATAGAAATAGCAAAGAAACACTTAATAGCAAAGAGTCTTCAATGAATTATTGATAATAGAAGCAAAAAAATCATTGATAGTAGCCAAAGAAAATATAGTTATTTGATAGATTAAATTTTCAATTGAGTTATTATTAAATATTTGTCCTTTATTATCATAATAATAAATGTAATATTAAAATCAACGTATAATAAATTTTTAAACTAAAAATAAAGATTTTTAAACTATAAGGTTATGCAGCATACTTAAAAAAAAATAGGCCGTAATATGTTAAAAAATTACAATCATATATTTAAATAAAGTTTTTAAAAAATTTAACAGAATTTTATACTATTGAAAATTGATTAAGATAATTTACTTAGTAGATAAGGTATAAATTAATTATTACCATCAAAGAAATCGATAATGCAAAAAAAAAAAAAAAAAAGTAAGCTAAGCAATATTAACAAAGCAACAAAGGAAAATATGAGGAAAGAAAAGAATTTCAATTTTATTTAATAAATTTAATTATTTTTAGATTTTGTAATTATAATCTAGTTAATTTCTTTTGCAATTAAAATTATAACATTAATTGATTTAATATCAGATTCAAACCTTCTAAATTTCTCACAAAGGATTTTTTGTTCCCAAATTTAAGATTGGATAGATATTTTTTCGGTTTTTGTCATTTTCTAATATAATTTTGATTTAATATGACAATAAGAGATAAAATTTTTAAAGTTTAATCTTACATTTTACTATTAAAATAAACATAATCTTATATATTAATATATAATATATATATATATAAGTAACTATATATATATAAAATTTATTATTTTATTCAATAAGAATCATCTATTTAAATAGGAAATAAAATCCTTAAGTAATCTCCTTAATAATTAAATTAGCTTTATTTTTTGACTAATAAAATTAAAATCTTTAACAATTTCCTATTTAGAATTGATTAAACTTCCTATAGATGCTAGAACATACTTAATAAATATAAATAAAAATTTTATTCTATTAATTTATAAATAGAAAAAGTTAAAATTATACTTATTGCAAGAAAAAGACATAATTGTAAATTCAATAATTATAAATTAGCAAAGCTTGATGTAATAATTCTAAATTAGCAAAGCTTGATGTAATAATTCTTGATAGTCAAAAGCAACAAATTCGTGATAGTTAAGAGTAACAAATTTTTGATAGTCAAAACTCAAAACTAATTAAAACCAAACGTATGTGTAATGGTATGATAAGACAAAATCTTAATTAGAATAGTATTAAATGACAAATTCCTAATTAAGGTGAGATTAAATTTATAATATTAATATAATAAAAATAATAAATTGAAATCATAATTACAGTAGGATTAAAGTCAAATTTCTAATTATAATGAAATTAAATTTATAATATTAATGAAAAAGAGCCACCAATAAGGGATCAATAAATTTAATGTCTTATATTAAAATATATTTAAATTATATGTATAGGAATTTCAAAATTTTCCTAATTAGAATAGGACTAAATTATTTTTAACGATATTTTTAATTAATCAACTAACAAAATACCAATAAAAGAGTTTTCTAATTAGAATAAGATTAAATTATTTTTCAATCAACTAGTAAAATTAAAAGTCTGCAGAGGCGTCTTAGAAACTCAATGTTCCCTCACACACATACATACGCGCGCGTGCACACACACACACACACACACACACACACACACACACACACATATATAATTTTAAATTCTTATACATGTAAAAAAATTCTGATTTATTATATTATAATTTGAATATTGAAATTCTCACCGCTATCTTACTTCTATCGAAATACTTGAAACTAAAAATATTATCTTGATAAATATTAATCTTTCAATCAAAATAAAATTTAAATTTTACTAATAAAATATAAAATAAAAGGGAGGAAGAAAAGAGAAAAGAAAGTACAAGCATGCCAAAGGATACGGTGAAGAGATATAGGCAGTGAAAATAGCTTAGTAAAATTTGGTTATAACTTTAGAAACGGATAAAACTTCCGTTTCTAACACATTTGTAGAACCCTTTATCACCTCTTAGCAATGGAAAACTAATGAAACAAGATTTGTTAATTAATAAGAATAATATGATTAAGGAAACTAATATAATCCATCTAATTAAAATTATTGTATACTTTAATCGATAAATAAAATTAAAAATTTATTAATTAGAGGTTCCTTCTTTTTAAGATATTTTATGATAATGCTATTGAGGATGAAAAGCTTGTAAGGTTGTAGTTATTCATGATTACTAAATAATTACTGTTAATCTATAAATTTATAAATCTAAATTATAAGAACTATAAATAAAAATTATTCTATTAGGTTCCTTCTTTTACCAGATATTCCTATGATAATGCTATTGATGATGAAATCCTTGTAAGGGTGTAGTTATTCATGATTATAAATAATTAGCTGTTAACAGCTATAAATGTGATATAAATTCTAAATGATAAGAACTATAAATAAAATTATTTCTTATTAAAATAAAAATTATTCTATTAATTTATAAATTATAAGAACTATAAATAAAAACAATTACAGTTAATCTATAAATTTATTATGTTACATCAAATTTTTGCTAATTTGAAATTTATAATATTAATATAATAAAAATAATAAATTAATATCATAATTAGAAAATGATTAATAATGATACTTTTGTCCATTCATAAACTTAGTAGCGATGTTTTAAGAACCTAATGTTCCACAATCGCGCGCGCGCGCGCACACACACACACATATATATATTATTTTAGTCTTAATAATATAATTGTGGTACAATTTCATTAGCTACAATTTTTGCTATAGACAGAGCATTAGCTACAATTTCATTCACATGTTATATAATTGTGGTAGGCCATGGTACGCAGAATTTATAGATAGATTTAATCTAACATTTTCGCTATAGATCCATTCAATAAAATAAAATGGACAATTTACTTTTTAATATTATTATTATAATTATTATATAATTATGAAGGTCAATATAATATAATAATAACGATAATATATATATAAATATATATTATAAATAATAAGAATTGTAATAAAAAAATGTTATGATTAAATTGATAATAAATAAAAGAATTGTAATAAAAAAATGTTATGATTAAATTTGATAATTTATCTAATAAAACTGTTGGCTAGTATTAAAAAATAAAATAAAATTAATTATATATTTATTACATTTAAAGTGTAACAAATACTTCTAAAATGTCAGAAACCACAATATTCATAAATTATTTTCGGAGATATCTTTCTCATAATTACTTTTTTTTTAAAAGCTATTTTTGAAAAAAAGGCCTTGAAACTAAAAGAAAGGACAATCCCGTATGAATCACGTGTGCTGTGCCTGTCGACGGATAGCAGAGGAGCAGCCACATTTTTCAGGCCACACAAATATTTCAAACTATTTAAAATTGTTTCAGATATTACTGAATTTTGTGCAAAACGTGCAACCGACAACAAAACCACAACTGTCAATGTATTGCTCACAAACTAATCAAAACGGGTTGTGCATGTATGATGTATCTACCTTCCATTGTAAAATTAGCTTACTTAAAGTGTTTATTTTATATTTTAAAAATATAAAAATTATCTGTAAAAATTATATTAACCACCTATCAAATCAATATTTAACATATAAAAGTTAAAATTTTAAATGAATGATTTTTTTTATTAGAAATGAAACTATAAATTTCATTAAGAGAAAATCGTATACAGATATGACATAAAGATAAATATATTTTCATATTTTCATATATGAAATCTAATAAAAAATCATATATACAAAAGTGAAAAAAACACAATCCTGATTTAATGATTTGATTGAATTGACAAAGCATAATTGAAATACCCCGAATTTTTATTTTCGAAACTTTTAAATTTTTATTAAATCAAAAATCTCGATTTTCAACTATATGGGCTATAAATACTGAACAATCTTAATTTGAGTCTAAAATTTTGTGAGTTGGGCCCAAGCCCAAATGTATTGTCGGAATTTTTGATTTGAGAACAGTTAAATTTTCGAGAAATATTGGGCCTGAATTGTGAAATATTGTAGAAGATAAACTTGGGCCGAGAAATAATAAAATCTTGAGGAATATTTTTTATAGTCATATGCGTTGAATGTTGAAATTTATGTTGAGATAATAGATTTTAGTGTTTCAGGCTTACTACGAGCCTCGAGCCTTAAGCTAACCTAGGCCCTAGTACGGGTCCGGCCCATGAGAACAGTTCGTGACAA